AAATTATGGAAATTTTATAGCATATGTAATTTTTTTAATCTTGATCTGGTCCTTGAGTCAAGGCAGCCTAACCCAACTCAAATGGTGAAACTAGATTAACGGCTCAAACCAAGTAAAAGATTCGTCGTTAAGGAAAATGATACATATTTTTACACAATAGTAGCAAATAACTAATTTAATTACTTTTTAAAATTTTTATAAATGATTTAACTAAGCCTTACATCTAGTGATGGATGGAGAATAATCAATATTAAATTGATAACCAACGGAACTAAATTATTGATTGCGGGAGGCAAATTTGAAATATACATGTGTGCTTGTTAATAGTTATTTAACTCCGTCTATATTTATAGCCGGTCCTAAGCTCGGATAAGATAGAAGAGTTGTGTTAGGCCATCAACAGCCAACGTAAAACTTTGTTGAATCTATCACAAGCATGGATAATAAACATTATAATGCTAATGCTAGGTCGTTACCCGTAAGTAACGTGCTACATGGCTCGAGTGTAGTGACAAGTGAGTTAGAGTTGTTCTATCGGTGCCCGAATGTAGTATTAAATCAGCAAGGGCTACAGCATCATTCTGGACATACACGGCTAAAGAAGTTAGTCCATGAGAGCAAGATTAAATTTGATACTTGAAATGTAGGGACATTAAATTGTAAATCTGTAAAGGTTATAAGGGTTATGATTCAAAGGAAAATCAATATCCTATACCTGCAAGAAACAAAATGGTGTGGAGAAGAAGCTAAAAACATTCAAGGTTTCAAACTTTGGTATACAGAAAAAGTAAACACACACAATGGAGTAGGCATCATCATTGATAAGAAGTGGAAGAAAAACGTTGTAGAAGTTAGCAGAATTGGAGACATAATTATTTCCTTAAAAATGATAGTTGAACGTGAGACTATTAATATTGTTAGCACTTATGCGCCTCAAGTCGGGACAGAAGCCAGTCTTAAGGAATTATTTTGGGAAGATTTGGAGGGGTTGATTCAACACATACCACAGAGTGAAAAGATTTTTATTGAAGGAGATTTTAATGGGCATGTCAGGACAGAGGCTGGTCAGTATGCGAGGGCGTATGGTGGTTTTAGTTTTGGAGAGCTAATCAATGAATGACAAACTCTTTTTAATTTCTCGTTGGTATATGATTTTAAAATTGATAACACTTATTTCAAGAAGAGAGATGAACATCTCATCATTTACAAAAGTAGAGCCTCAAGATCACATATTAATTTTCTTTTGGTTAGGAACATGGATAGAAGACTTTGTATTATGAGTAAAACTTAAAAATTACAAGGTAATTCCCGGGGATGATGTAACGATACAACATAAGGTCCTTATCCTTAATGTATGTATTATGAGTAAAACTAACGTCAAAAAGGAGTAGCATTAAGGATTAAGTAGTGGCAATTAAAAGGTGAGAAGTAGGATATTTTCAAGCAGAATCCTTTAGACAAAGGAATTTGAAAATCTCAAGAAAGTGCTAACATCTTTATGGGAGGATATAGCTAAAAGATAAGAGAGGTTGCAAAAGTAGTTTTGGGAGATCAAAAGGTTTTGGTGAGAAATAAGGAGTCTTGGTAGTAGAATAATAGTGTATAGGACAAAATCAAATATAAGAAGAACTATCTCAAAGCCATACATTTGTATAACAATGAGAAAAATTGAGAAATGTACTGTATGGCTAAGAAAAAAAACTAAGAGAGCTGTGAGTGAAGCTTATTCTAAAGCTTTTGAAAAATTTTATTATAGCCTTGAGACAAAGGAAGGAGAATGAAACATTTATAATATTGTTAAGAGTGGGGAAAGAAAATCAAGAGATCTAGAACATGTAAGATATATAAAGGATAAAGAGGAAAGAATTTTAGTTATAAATGATGAAATTAAAAACAGATGGGAGATTTACTTTTTCAAACTTTTCAATGATGGAGAAAGTTCGTCTAGTAACTTGGAGGATTTAGTAACTCGTGAAAGAAAATAAAATTTGTCATTCTATTAAATAATATGTGATAAGAAAGTAAAGGAAACTCTTGAGAAAATGGCAAATGGTAGAGCTAACAAATCTAATTGTATATCTATTAAAGTGTGAAAATGTTTAGGTAAAGAAGGGGTGAGATGGTTAACTAAGTTATTTAATGTGATTTTATAGTCCAAAAAAATTCCTGACAACTGAAGGAGAAGTACATTAATTCTTATTTATAAAAATAAAAAGGATATTTAGAATTGCACTAATTATAGAGGGATTAAACTTATGAGCCACACAATGAAATTGTAGGAGAAAGTAATTGAGCATAGGTTGAGATTGGAGATAAGTATTTCTGAAAATCAATTTGGTTTTATGTCAGGTAGATCAACTACAGAGACGATTTATCTACTAAAGAGATTAATAAAAAAGTATCATTATAAAGATAAAGATTTACACATGGTTTTGATTAATTTGAAAAAAGCTTATGACCATATATCAAGAGAAGTACTTTGAAAAGTCTTGAAAAAGAAGGGAGTACGGATAGCTTATATTAAAGTTATACAAAATATGTATGAGGAGGTAAAAATAATATAAGAATGTCTAGTAGTCAAACAAAAAACTTTTCTATAAAAATTGGATTACATTAAAAATTATCTTTGAGTTCTTATCTGTTTGACTTGGTCTTAAATGTTTTGACGAAACATATTTAAGGAGAAATTTTCAAATGTATGCTCTTCATGGATGATATAATTCTTATAGTAGAGACAAGAGAAGATATTAATTGTAAACTTGAGTTATGGAGGAGGACATTGAAGTCGAAAGGTTTTCATCTCAATAGGAGTAACACAGAATATTTATATTGTAAATTTGGTGAAAGACTAGTCGACAGTAATTTGAAAGTAAAATTGAGAGATCAAATTATACCTTAAGTGAAAAAGTTTAGATATTTGAGAGCCATTATTCAAAATGATGGCGAAATCAGTAGAGATATTTCACATAGATTTCAAGCTGAGTGGTTTAATTGAAGGACAGCTAAATGAGTTATTTGCGACCATAAGGTGCTTAATAAACTTAAAGGAAAGTTTTATCATACTGCTATCAGATTGGCTATGTTATATGATAGTGAATGCTAGGCTCTAACGGGACAGCAAGAGCATAAAGTTAGAATAGCAGAGATGAGAATGTTACAATGAATGTGCGGATATACACGTAAAGATAAAATTCAAAATGAGCACATATGTAAAAAAGTGAAAGTAGCACTTATTGAGAAAAAAAGATAGAAAATCATTTGAAATGGTTTGGGCATGTGCAAAGAAAATCACAGGAAACATCAGTGAGAAAAATAAAACATATAACTTTAAATTCTATTAAGAGGGGTAAAGAAAAGCCTAAGAGAATAATTTTGAAAGTTGTTAAACATGATCTCTTAATTAATAATATTTTTAAAAACTTGACAAATGATTGAGCACAATGACATTTTACAACCCATATAGCCAACTCCATCTAATAGGATAAAAGCTTATTGTTGTTGTTATTGCTGCTGCTATTATTGCTACTTGTTAATAGTTATTTCTATTTTTAATTATAATCATACAATAATAATTTATGCACTTTTATTAAAAAAAATATTGTGCTTTTTTCCAAACAATCTCGGGAATAAATTAAGCTCCACTCTTTTTTTTAATTAATGACTAGTTAATATTAATAATAAAAAATAAAAATTATACTTATAACCTTTAAAATATATATTTTATTTTTATTTAATTATATTAGAAATGAATGTGCATACGAGACAGTGTGCAAGAATTTTTATCGTCTTGGGAGCCCCTTGACTTGTGCCTGAATCCGCCCCTGAACATATTTTCAAAAAAATTAATTAAATTGCTTCAGCCATTGTCATTTATCTACTAAACTAAAAACTACTCTCTTTTGATATAATTATCAGCCCAATTTAGTTGCTGAGTGTTCATCTTTTTCTCAATCTTTTGACTTAACTACATGACTCACCTGCAATAACGTGTAAATAGCAAGCATGTATCTTTTATTTTGTTTTCTTAATACAAGACAATGGCCGTATCCAAGAGGCCTGATTGATGCGAATCGGCCATCAAAATATCCCGGCATCTTGGAGGAGCACTCTAATGATGCAAAACTCGGACCAAACTGAATGGTCAAGCTGCCAACTAGAGCCATCAATGGCTCAATTTGGATCAAAAAACCATTTAAGAAGTTGAACCAAATTAAACCACCTTGGATTAAGAACTGAATCCAATTCTTAAAAACTAAGCAGCTAAAAAAATTACCCTTTTTCTATTTGTATAAAATAACTTATTTTTTTAATCATTTAATGTTATAGTATATCATGTAATTTTTTAAATCCTAATAAACTTAAAATATTTGATTTTATTTTTTAATTAAGTAACAATTTCATATTTATTTTATATTTAAATTATTATATATATATATAAATTTTTTTGACCATTAATCCAACCTAACTGAATCATACGAATCATAAACTGCTAGCCTTTTCAATTTAATATTCAATCTAATCTATGGAGCATAGTATGCAAATTTGATTTAACACACTCGACTGAATCAGTAAATCATTAAACTAATATCTTAATTAATTTAATAAAATGTTTTATTTATAATTGATTTGATCATAGTTTTGACCATTAACTTTTGAACTAAGGAAGAATGACATTAAAGTCCAAAAGTAATAAATTTATGATAGTTAAATTTTTAATAAAATTTTCTGAAAAATCAATTATAAATATTAATTTAGATAGTCATAAGTTCATAAATTCTAATTACAAATTAGACATTTAAATTTTAAATATAACTTTCAATTGACGTGTTTCAAATTGTAGACATTATTGTCATTCTTCCTTAAATTAATGCCTTGACTAGTTCAATACGTTGGAGTATCTATGTGAATAACAAGCATATTTTATGTCATGAAAATGGCTAAAAATGGACCCCAATAAGAAAGATTAGAAGTAATGAAAAGAATATAGAATTGCAAACCTGTGAGATTCAAGTCCATCTTGACTTCGTCTGCATGATACTGGGACACGCCAGAAAAGCCTTATACTACATATACACAAACATATGGTCTTCTATGTACACAAACATCTCGTATCACTAAATATACCCTGCCAGAAACAGAGAATCAATACGACTAAAATCCTCCCTCCCCACTTTAGTTTGTACATATGGTAATCTCTCAAGTGTCGTCTCATGAAGTGAAGAGTGAAAGAGAGAAAGAGGCTCACAATGATAGAGGTGGAACCCACATCACTCTCTTCTCATCTCTTCACTTCAGCAAAATTTCACTTCAAAAGATTAAAGATTTGATCGCAAGCAGCAACGGACCTAGAATCTCTCCATTTCTTTATCATCATTTTCCCTTCACTTCCCTAATCATAACCATTCATCAAATCTATGACCAAAACAAATTCATTTAATGCAATGGTTATGAGTAAAAAGTAGAGGGAAAAGGATAATAAGAAAATGGAGAGACTCCGCGTCCCCAACTACCTGTTAAAATCTGTAACCAGAAGAACTAGGCGGGGCGGGGGCTGATCGGTTAGGAGTACGACGACTACCGGAGTTTGAACCATAGTTCATATCACCATTCTGTACTATATCACCATTAGATCGACTGTGACCATTAGATCTAGATCTTAATGAACTGCTACGACTACTGGGGCCATTAGCAGCAGCATTGAAAGCAGTTCTCCAATCATCACCTGGACCATCACTTCTTGGACTACTCTCTGCAAACAATGATAAAGAAGTTGAGAGAAAGACCAAATAGGATAAGGAATAGAGAAACAACCCATTTTCAAGTGCTCTCATGCAGAGTCTTTTGAGCTTGCAGTGGAATTTAACTAGAGTCTACCCCTATCAATACAGATGCGCTTAAATTTTTTAACCAATGTGCGTAAATCAAGAGAAATAGGAAAGCCACAATAGAACTGATTTCAATTGGGAAATAAATTTTTAATCCCTTAGGTTTGCTTGAATTATCGATTTGGTTCCTTAAGATATTTTTTTAAGCACTTTAATGCCTTATGTTTTTATTAAATTATCATGTTAATTCTTTAAGTTTTAAAACGCAAATTGAATCTCAAATTAACTTAAAGTCTAAAGTATATTAATGATTTAGCACGTATATATAGTTAAATGAGAATAAATTAGCCGTCAAAACAGTTGAATTCATACCAAGTCAATTATATATACATATATATATGTATGTATGTATATATATAGATGTGTTGGTGATGAGAATGGGAATGGTGAGGATCAAATTTGGTCAAAGAGAAGAACCGTGATAGTATGTCAGCATTCCAAAAGTTCAAGTTGTCAAGGTCCAAAAGTGGTTTTATTAATGATATTTCACGCACAAACTTCTAGGTTCTCACAATGATTCAACTTTGGACACTGAAAATACAAAAGACTAAAGGCCTTGACATTTTAGATGAATATGATTCAACCCCACCATTAATTATGCCAATAAATAAGATATTATCTTTTATATTCATACCTTCAACACTACCGTTTGACCAGCTAGTGGCAGCAGCTGCACTGTTGTCATGAATACTCAGTTGACGTGTCAGTTTCGAGAGAAGTGAGGATTGCTTTTGGTAACGTTCCCTCCTTCGCTTCACATTCTGGTCCTCTTGTATCAGCTCCTCAATCTTAGCCGTGCTTTGAGAACTGTCCATAATAAGGAAATAAAAGGTTTACCATAACCAAGTCAGGGGGGAAAAAATGAACACAAGAATGCCTTCAGAAATCTATAATATAGATCCATCAAAGATTAACATGATTCCCCTGAAAGATTTAAGTGTCTCCTAAACTAATTTGCTCAAATCAACAAAGAATAAACCCCATGTCCCCACAAATGCAGTACTTCACTCTTCAAGGTACAGGCACAGTCCAATAAATAAATACTAAGGAATTAAAGAAGGGTTAACAGTTTGCCTCATCAATTATTCTCACGTAATATCTAAACTTATATATAGTGCAATTTTTCCTTGTAACATTTGAAAAGGGTGGACTGGACACTTTGCCACTCAAAAAACTAACTTTCACCATTAGTTGACCAAAAAAATTATAAAAAAAGGACATCAAAAATTATAAATAAGTACCCTACAAGAAAATTAATATTGATCAAGTCCTTAAAATAGTGTGATAGTTTATAAATCTTTCTTCATAATTTATAAATCCTCCTTCAAAAATTTCTAGTTAGGGTTAAAAAAATACTTTTATTTATAAATAACAAATATGCTAGTGAAGTTATAAATTTCTAGAGAATGTAAATCTCAAAAGTTAACTTATAAAAGAGTTTCTAATAATAATTAATCCCTCCAATCCTATTTATAAGACACTTTTAACTAAATCACGCGGATTAAGAAATGTGATTAAAATTAGATAAAATTCTTTTTTTCAAAAATTTCTATAGAAATCCCAAATTTCTGTATGTATTTAGTTTTTGATTAACAGTACACCAAACTTCACAGCTAATTATTATTTCATCTAAAATTTTCAACACAATTTTGTAAATAAAGTCCATTCAAACTCTAAAGAGTTGAATATTTTACTAGAAAATTTTAGAGGAAGTGTCATCATGTTTAAAAATTAATCATTCTCGAAGTGTTATCATTCTTGAGGTCATTTTAATTTTAAGAGACAGCATTAACACTTCGAGAATGATTAATTTTGAATATGATAACACTTTCTCTGAAACTTTCCAGTCAAATATTCAACTATTTAAAGTTTGAACAAACCTCATTTACAAAATTGTATTGAAAATTTTAGATGAAAACAATAACTAACCGTGAAGTTCGGTGTATTATTGATCATAAACTAATTATATATAAAAGTTTGGGATTTCTATAAAAAAATTTGATTAAAAATACTTTTAACTAATTTAACCATTTTTATTAATCCGTGTGATTTGGTTAAAAATTAAAGGTTTCTTATAAATAGAATTTGAGGGAGTAATTATTATCAGCAACTAGTTTACAAGTTAACTTTTGAGATTTACACATTCTCTATAAATTGACAACTTAACTAGTACACCGGTTATTAAATGAACGTGCTTTTCATCCTAGCTGTAAATTTTTGGAACACTTATAAATTTTGGGGAAAACTTATAAATTATCACACTATTTTAAAGATTTAATCAATATTAATTTTCTTATAGGGTATTTATTCATAGTTTTATGGGTCTTGTTTGTAATTTTTAAGATTCTTTTTTATAATTGTTTGGGTCAACTAACCAGGTTGCACAAGGCATTATTTTCAAATATTAAAGGGGAAAATTGCACCATATGTAAGTTTAGGATACTAAACGCTCTTGAGCAAATAATTAAGGGATAAAAATACCCTTCAACCCAATAAAGAATGAAGCTCTGCAACTTACAACAAAGAATATCATGAGTCACGCAACAGAAAAGGAAAATGTAAACGTAAGAATTTCCAAACCTGACAGAACTGTATAATTGATTCAGCATGTCTTCTTTAGCTTTTTCAACTTGGCAAAGGACAACTGCCTGCTCAAACAATAAAGCAGAAAATGTGATAAAAAATTTTAAAAAAACCTGCAAGAAAAAGAAAAAGAAAAATGAAAACTTTGGAGAAAAGGCTTACCTTTGGTACATTGGCAGCTAAACTGTTCAAAACAGCTTCAACATAACCACAGACTTCTTGGGACATCCATCGTAGTTCTTCTTCGGGATCTGCAAGTCTCTGAGACATTGTATCCTGAAATGGGAAAAAACAATGAGCCGGTTTCTTTTAAAACCAGTAGTCATCCATCACACGTGTGAACAGAAGCCATAAGGCAGTAGCTCACCAAGGAACCATTAGATGAAATAGCTATTTGTCCTCCTCGTGCTTGTATAATATTACTTATCTTATTAATCCATTCAACCTTGTCAGCTGCACTCTCAGCCTTCAAAAGAACAGCACTATGTGCTGTACAGAGAAACAGAAACCAATCAAATTCAAAAATGTTCTAAAAACATATCCATGAAATGAGTGCAGGGAGTATGTTCAAAAAAATGGCTACAATAGCTGTAGAATATACCTTTCAAAACAGTTTTATATGGAATTGTAGTAGTGATCTTGAAAACAAGGCTGGGTTTGCCAGAATCAGGTCCATTGGACTTTTTACCCTTTGAGCTCTTTAATGGAGGATCCTCTTCATCTGAAACCTCTACAATGTTGCATTCCTGCAAGATACTAAAATCGTCATTTAGAGTTTTTAGTTATACTCACATCTCTCTCATATTATACAACCAACCCCAGCCAATGCAACCAAATAAACGTCCAAGCTACCAATAGTATAAAAAACCAATTTTTTTTCTAAATTATATTTGTATATTCAATGAACTCTCACTCACATCGAGGAAATTTGTGCTCTAGTGCCTTTTCAACACCAGAAGTGAAAGTAAAAAACTAAGGTCATGTTTGGCATGCATAAAAGGTGTTTCAAGAAATGGATGATGGTACCTAATCTGCGAAGTTTCAAGATAAAATAATGTCAATGCAATGTTACATTTGGTTGGTTTAGTATCCATATACGCCAATATGCGTATAAATAGGGAAATGTCCAGATGTAAAAGAAAAGGACAAAAACACTAATGAATAGAATATAGACTTTGAATGATTGTACCAAATCTGCGGATAAATTTCTGAAGTATATACATTCATTCTCCATAAAGCAAGAGTCTCTGTTACGTCATTGTTGGAGATGGAGGTACAAGACTTTTAAAAGAAAACTTTCAAATAATTTAGACTACCATGAATAACAAGGGAAAAGTTGCCAATGATAACTAAATTTGAATTCAACCAAGCACTTATGTAGGCATTCCAGCTGGAAATTAATCACTAATTAAGTTATATTTGGATTAAAGATTTATGCTAAAAAAACTTCAATGCATTTGCTGAAAATATAACCGTTGATGAAAAAACATTCATGCACAAAAGTATTGATGGTCCTCATACCTCTAACGTAATAACACCACGAAAAAGTCTTTCCTCTGCTTTTTTGTGTAACCAAGCTGCGAAGCAAAATCAGAGTCAATGTTACTTGTAGTAGATTATATCATAAACATAGTTAGTTACATCTTTGTCTGTTGAAAAGAAAAATTAATTATATCTCTTCAAGCACAATTAACCAAGCACAACAAAGATAAACAAATGAAAAACTGTCAAAAACTCATTAAATGATAATAATCATTACATCATTTGCTGAAAACAGTACATACATGTAGTAAGTGGCTTGAACACCAATTGTAAATAAAACTCGAGCTTCTCCAAGAAAAAATTAAGCATGGGATGATCTATAGAACGTAGTGAAGACCAAAGATAAAACGTAGAAATTCGGAAAGCCCACTTCACTAGTGAAGTCATCTAACATCTATGTGTATAATTGTCAGTCTACATTACTGTTTACCACAAGACTCATCTGGCTTGATAAACAATGAACAACAATTAACACCAAAGAAATAGTCATTACAAGAAAGTGAAACAAAAGTTTCACCATTGATTCAAACTAATCAATAATCAATATAAATATATAAGATGCTTGTCGCCAAAAAAATAAATGAGTAACTTGCTTCTAAGAAGACAATGAATAAAATTGACAGATTTGGAGAAATGGTTACAAACCTTTCCTGTCTTCCCATTTAGAACAAACCATCGCCTGCTCCAACCATTAGTTTTCGCGCTTTTCTTCAACAAATATCCTGCAGCGAATACAGAAGACTGGATTTTTATATGGTGATAATTAAAACTCAAATCTCTTCTAGTTAAGTATCTGTTTGGAAAATTCCAGTTTCAAAATAATATGTTAGAGAAATTTATGTCAGAGTATGCTCCTATGCCTTCCTAGGTTTGATTGCCACAAAATTGTGTTTATCATTGTTAAGAAGCGCCATGGTCCACCATTTCCTATTATTAACCTTCCAATAAATTACCACCTAAATGGGGTAAATGTTTTGTTGAAAATTTTCCACTAGAATAATAGCAGCATGGAATCAACCAACAACTGCTGTTATTCTCCTTCAGAACCTGCAGTTTTTAACCAGAACCTTCTTTCCCTTCTTTCCTTCTTTCCCTTCTTTCTCTGACTGACTTGATTTTTCCTTCTCCTTCTCATCCTTCATTGACTTCATGCTTCCACCTGTTTGAGGGCTAGTTGCCTGAGTTGATGGTATGCAGTTTATACCAACAAACCCATAATACAGACGATCAGAAACAAAATATAATTTGGAGTAGCAAAATTACAAACCACTATTAATTTCTACAACCCACATTTCATCAAACACTGAATAAGCGACACCTACCCGGTTAAGCATAGATTGCTCTGCATCTTGCCCCTTTTTGAAGATCGATTTTTGAGTTCATCTTCTCGGCGTTGCCTTTCCATCCTAAGTACGTATCATAGAATAACTATCAGATCGCAGAATAAACTGTAAGGGCAAACAATTGGATCTTAAATTTCTTTAGCAAGAATTCACATTGTTAAGCTAAATATGTCCAAAATGATGGATTAAGAAGGCATAGATAGAATAATAGGAGAGAGAGACTACTAGAAATTGGAGATATTTCTGCTCTGGGAATTATTTCTCTAGTCACAATTCTATTTGCTGTAGTAGTCTTCAATAAACACGAGTTGCAAAACGTGTTGGTTTTATAATACTTTAGACAAAGAAATATATATCTTTTTCAGCAAGAGTAATGAAAATTTAATTCATAAATC